GTATCTCTCGATGCATATTTGCATCAATCAGATGCATCGCGATATTAGAGGAGTGGCATCGACTGCTCTCCGAAGGCCTTTTGACATCAGCGCGAGGCTTTTTTGCAACAAGAAACTGCATGCAAATTTGAGAAGAACACCTCAATTTCTGGCGGCCTGTTGCTCCATTCACATTGAAGCATTTGTTTCGCGGTAAACAAATGGCAGGTGTTTGGACCCACTAGTGTGGGGCCGACCCAGAAGACCCATAAATTGTCAGGGGGTTGGACCGTGCGTCATGTGCAGCCTCAACTCATCAACATATCTTCACCCTCGCCGTCGTCAACTCGAATCATCACACCTATCAATCACCATCCTCATCCATCACTACCACTCATCAATCATGACCACCTATTAAGATTATGTCACTAACATCGATGAATTACAGCGTTCTACGACAGGTAAGTCGTTACGCAATCCTTAGCGGATCCCGACCTCCATGACCACTGTCTATCTGTCGATACTTGTACTAACCTTCCTCTCTCTCCTCTCTCAACGGTAGTATGTTAGTAAAGGTGAGCTGTCGAGGTTCCACATTTGAAATTGTCAGAAGAAAGACCTTACGTGCCCTGATCGAATTCCGGATTCGCGGCGTCAAGACCAACATTCCATTTTTGGCTTCTCTCCTCACACACCCGACTTTCATCGAGGGCAACTGCTGGACTACCTTCATTGATGATACGCCGTCGCTCTTCGACCTAGTTGGAAGCCAGAACCGTGCTCAGAAGCTCCTTGCTTATCTGGGCGATGTCGCCGTCAACGGCAGCAGCATCAAGGGTCAGATCGGTGAACCCAAGTTTAAGGGTGATATCATCATCCCCGAGCTCCATGATGCTTCTGGCAACAAGATCGATGTCAGTCAGCCTTGCACCAAGGGCTGGCGCCAGATCATCCTCGAGCAGGGCCCCAAGGCCTTCGCCAAGGCTGTCCGCAACTACAAGGGCTGCCTTCTCATGGACACCACCTGGCGTGATGCCCACCAGTCTCTCCTTGCCACCCGTGTGCGTACCGTCGATCTGTTGAACATCGCCAAGGAGACCAGCCATGCTCTCCACAACCTCTACTCCTTGGAGTGCTGGGGTGGTGCCACCTTCGATGTCGCCATGCGTTTCCTCTATGAGGATCCTTGGGACAGACTCCGCAAGATGCGCAAGCTTGTGCCCAACATTCCCTTCCAGATGCTCCTCCGTGGCGCCAACGGTGTTGCCTACGCTTCCCTGCCCGACAACGCCATTGAGCACTTCGTCGAGCATGCCAAGAAGAACGGTGTCGATATCTTCCGTGTCTTCGATGCCCTTAACGACATCCACCAGCTCGAGGTTGGTATCAAGGCTGTCCAGAAGGCAGGCGGTGTTTGCGAGGGTACCGTTTGCTACAGCGGTGACATGCTTAACCCCAAAAAGAAGTACAATCTTGAGTACTACCTTAAGCTCGTTGACGAGCTTGTCGCTCTCGACATTGATGTCCTTGGCATCAAGGATATGGCTGGTGTTCTTAAGCCCCACGCTGCTACCCTCCTCATTGGCAGCATCCGCAAGAAGTACCCCGACCTCCCCATCCACGTTCACACTCACGACTCCGCAGGTACTGGTGTCGCCTCCATGGTTGCTTGTGCCATGGCTGGTGCTGATGCCGTTGATGCTGCCACTGACAGCTTGTCTGGCATGACCTCTCAGCCCAGCATCAACGCCATCATTGCTTCGCTTGATGGCACTGACAAGGACACTGGTCTCAACGTCCACCATGTCCGTGCTCTTGACACCTACTGGTCTCAGCTCCGTCTCCTCTACTCGCCCTTCGAGGCTCATCTCACTGGCCCTGACCCCGAGGTTTACGAGCACGAGATTCCTGGCGGTCAGCTCACCAACATGATGTTCCAGGCTTCCCAGCTTGGCCTCGGCTCTCAGTGGCTTGAGACTAAGAAGGCCTACGAGGAGGCCAACGACCTCCTCGGTGACATTGTCAAGGTCACCCCTACCTCCAAGGTTGTTGGTGACTTGGCCCAGTTCATGGTTTCCAACAAGCTGTCCAAGGATGATGTGCTGGCCCGCGCTGGCGAGCTCGACTTCCCCGGCTCCGTCCTCGAGTTCCTCGAGGGTATGATGGGTCAGCCCTACGGCGGTTTCCCTGAGCCTTTCCGTACCAAGGCACTTCGTGGCCGTCGCAAGCTCGACGCTCGCCCCGGTCTCTTCCTCGAGCCCGTCGACTTCGCCAAGGTCCGCAAGGAGCTCGCTCGTAAGTTCGGCAGCGTCACCGAGTGCGATGTTGCCAGCTACGTCATGTACCCCAAGGTCTTTGAGGACTACAAGAAATTCGTGGCCAAGTTCGGTGATCTCTCCGTCCTTCCCACCAAGTACTTCCTGTCCAGGCCCGAGATCGGCGAGGAATTCCACGTCGAGCTCGAGAAGGGCAAGGTCCTCATTCTCAAGCTCCTTGCTGTCGGTCCTCTCTCCGAGAATACCGGCCAGCGTGAGGTGTTCTACGAGATGAACGGTGAGGTCCGCCAGGTTACCGTCGACGACAAGAAGGCGTCGGTTGAGAACGTGAGCAGGCCCAAGGCCGATCCTACCGACTCCAGCCAGGTCGGCGCCCCTATGGCCGGTGTTCTCGTTGAGCTCCGTGTCCACGACGGTACTGAGGTCAAGAAGGGCGATCCCCTCGCCGTTCTCAGCGCGATGAAGATGGTACGTTGTCCACCACACCCCTTTACGCAGATGACTTAATACTAACTCGTACACCATAGGAAATGGTCATCTCCGCTCCTCACAACGGTGTTGTCTCTTCCCTTGCCGTCCGCGAGGGTGACTCCGTCGATGGCTCTGACCTTGTCTGCCGCATCGTCAAGCACGGCGACAAGTGAGTAACTAGATGATTGAATGACAGGCTGTCATTCCATCGTCAAAGACTCGAGGAAATAGAAGCAATTCGAGGGTCACGCAACAGAGCTACCGACCAAATTGTGTTTACGCTTCCACGACGAGACGAACATTTCAAAAAGAAAGAGAAACGGCGCGTCGTTGTTCGGAGTCCGGCCGGGTTTTTGTTACTTGGGAATGATTATATGGCACATGGATTTTGATATGAAGAGCTGGATGGAGGGACGGATGACATGAACATTAATTCCTCCAAAGACAATTTGGGCACATCGAGGGACGCCGGGCCGGGCTCTTCAAAAGCCCAAGCAGCGTGCAGAGAGTGGAGCTTGTAGCACTCGATACCTCATGTATGCATGAAGCAAAGTAGTGATTTCATTTCATTACATGGTAAACTCTTAGGTGTCCTCCTCAAACCATACAGCTCGCAAACCGTAATTGCAAACATTTTGAGTTTGAAGTAACATGACTCTGACTGGTTGTTGCCTTAGAACTGCGGATAATTGCTTGCGGAGTACGATGAACAATTACGTGTAGCACCCAACTGTTCCACCTGGGTCAATGGATTACTATCGATATCAGTTGCTACTCTCGACGCTAAGATCTGGATTACATTGACCAGACGGGTGGAAAATGGATGAAGAGAGAAGAGAGAAAACGACGGGCCTTGGGAGCGACAGGGTTTTCTTAATCAGATCCAAGCGTCGAGAGTAGCAACCGATATCGATAGTAATCCATTGACCCAGGTGGAACTAGAAGGGTGCTACACTTAATTGTTCATCATACTCCCCGTGAACATGCCATTTGTATCAGCACCACGACTGGCATCATGACATGCCAAGTTGTTGGGACGATTTGGGAGCTATAACAGTTGAGCCTACGCAATGGACCGACGAGGTCATTGATACCTCTACCGAAACTGAATGATTGCAGCATTACAATGTCTATAACAGGGAAGCGTAAAGCAGTGAACATCAAGTGCGCTGATGTAGGAAGACACTGGCCTTCTGGACCGGTCAGCCTCCATTCTCTCCCACCTGTCATCCTGTTTCGCAGGTCAGACTATTGTCCTCAGCCAGGTTTGGTCATCGCCAAGCGAGTTGAATGATTGCACTTTGACCGTTGCAGGTGCCAAAGTACATTTCATTCCCGTTGATACTTCGTCTCAGAACCCCTAATTAGAAAAGATAGTCAAAGCGTCGAGACTAAATTCATACTGGAAGTATCAATGAAGAGTATGTGCCAGTTGCGCAACATTGCCTGGATCACGACGACTTTTTCCAAGCCGCAACATCAAGCACGTCAACAGCCATAGGTTGTGCCACTTGTTATTCCTTTCATAAACGAGATGAATCGGATGCGGGATCCCTATAATAGGGACAAAACCCCTACTGAAGACCTATCCGCAACCGTCAACCCAAATGCTCCGTAAAATCACGTGTACACGCGAGTAGACATTCGGTCTCTTCGATTGTCTACGAGCTTGCAGTACGCCGCTACTTGGTGTGACACGGAACACTCGTTCACAAATGTAAACATTCATATCAAATGACAAAGCACATCGGTGTAGGTATGTACGCCCAATCATTGCGACCCTTTCCATGGAGCCACGAAGGGCAAGGAAAGCACCGCACCCAAGATTGTTCGCTGATATCTGTTCTCCATTCTGTTCGAAATCGATGAATTGGTCCTGGGTCAGCTCCGAACGAATCCGGGGACCTCGCATCCAAGTTGCATTCCGAGAATGTGATATAATGCGTTGTAAAAATTGGAGAAAAAAAGGGAGAAAAAGTCCAAAAGCGAAAAAGTTTTCGGCTACTTTTATGGACGGCCAAGCAGGCAGGGGACGTGCACGCAGCAGACCAGTTGGCTGTGGCTTACCAGCGCAAGTCGAGGTGGGGTCCAATGAATTCTGGCGGGACGATTCTCACTGTCAGGTACTGCACCAGCCACAAGAACGAACGCCGGGCGTAATGCGGATCCGCCTTTCAGCCATAATGCCAAGAACGCGGCCAAAGCCGGCACAGGTGGGGCCGGCTATGGAGATTGGACGCATGGATCCTCGTCAATGTCACTGCCCCTTCCGAATGCCGGGCGAGATCCCGATCATCTGGAAGTGTGACTGACGTGGTGACTTACGTTCTGCAACGACATCATACCTTCAATCTCCGAAAAGCTCCAACACTTCCTGTATTCCAGTTTCGACAACACAGTTACCCTCGTTTCTGCAAAACATCCACCAGACCGAACCGCTCCCTACCTGTCATCAAAGTACACGCAAAACGAACCCAAGACAAACCACCAAAGACAATGAACACTGCGCAATCCCTCCCACGATTTCTACTCCCACGGCTGAGCTGGCAGGGTCCTCTCTCGCCAAACGTAGCCAGAACTGTTCCGTCCATCCTCCCGCAAGCCCACGATCAGCAACTACGAACATGGCAACCCCTCTGCTCTTCAAGATCCTTCCACTCGAGCCAACCGACTGATCACGCCCAATGTACCGCACCGAGCAACAAGCCGCGGTCGCTTAACATAATCGCCCGCAACCCAAGTCTAAGACGCTCATTCCATGCTTCCGCGGCACGCAGGCGCGACCACCACTTCGACACACTCAAGTTTGTCCAGCGCCTACAAGAAGATGGGTTCACAGAAGAGCAATCAGTGGCCATGATGAAAGTCCTGAACGACGTGATCGAAGAAAGGTAAAGCTCACATTATTCACCAGCCCTCCCCTCCCTTTTCTTTCCGACACCCCTTATTGTCCCGCTCCGTAAACTAACCACTCCTCTTCTGTCTAAGCAGCATACAAAACCTCACCCGAACCATGGTCCTCCGCGAAGACGCCGCCAAAGCGACCTACACGCAGAAAGTCGACTTCGCCAAGCTGCGCAGCGAGCTACTCTCGGCCGACAGCACCGAGTCGAACACCACCCGGGCCGCCCACGAACGGCTGACCAACGACATTGCCAAGCTCAACAGCCGGCTACGCGACGAGATCGGTCGTACCCAGGCTAGCGTCCGGCTCGACCTGAATCTAGAGAAGGGCCGCATCCGCGAGGAGGCCGTGTCGCAAGAGCTCAAGATCAAGGAGACGGAGACCAAAATCGAGCAGGAGGTGGCAGCGCTGAGGCAGCAGCTGGAACAGGTCAAATTCCAGACACTGCAGTGGCTTATGGGTGTCTGCACCGGTTTTGCTGCGTTGTTGCTCGGTGCCTGGCGTCTATTGATGTGAGGTATCACCGGGAAGACCGGGAGGGTGTGTTTGTTATGTTTGCTTGAGGTTGGAGTCTTTTCCCTGCATGGGAAAGAGTTGTCGGGATACCTATGGTATAACTACTGAGCGCTATGCTTGTTTGTTGTTTGTGCCTGTCAAAGAACCAAGGAATCACTTTCACAGGCACCACGTTAAAGTCCGGCCCTATTTACTACTCAAAGTTTGAGTGCTATCGTTTGCATCAAATAAGGGATGAAACTGGTGGTCATGGTTCCTTTGGTTAGCTCCACAAGAACGGCCGCGGACAAGTGTTGATGGTACCCATGTGCTTCTTGCTGCGCCTGCCATGGACATCACAAATCAGTGGAGTTTTCTTCTAATTAAGCGCTTACTACATGTACTGTACTTACCCTTCCTCTGACGCTTTGATGTTGGTCTAATGAACATCGATATGTCTCAAGAGTAGCACTTGGCTCAGCGGAAGGGCTTGGCTATTCGAGTCCCGCATCATGTACTTGATAGGGGTATCACAGTCTATGTAAGCTCAATTGGAGACGAAGAGGTGTCGTGTGCAGTTTACATGCGATCAAAGCTGAGATCAATCTTAATAGCTGCGGCTACGAGATGATCCTCGAGCTATTAAAGGGAAGGTTGACATCACAAACTCGTGGAAGGGAACGCTTCTACAGTCTCTCAAGACAACCTAGTGCTTTCAAGTCTCCCTATTCTACTTCGGCTATCTGTCTCCATGGATTCCTTCGATTTGTACCAACAAGGTCACACCTAAGTAACCCACACCACGACGTACACCAAGTGTTAACCCTCGCACTTCATCTTGATACTCTTACACCTCGCGCAGGGTGTCGGCCCAGTCCCAGTCCCACGATTACCACCACCAGTGCCCGTCCCGCCACCATCAGCGTGACCGCTACCGTTGCTCAAGACCGTACAAGGCAAGAACTCATCACCCCTCTGAGGCCTCGCGAAACGTCCTATACCAGTACGCGTGCCTGTACCAATCAGGCCCCCTCCGACATTCCCAGCAGCAGCAACAGCAGCAGCAGCAGCTACCTCATCCAGCTGTCTCTGTCTACGAGCGCACGAGTGGCACGGGCCGCGAAGGCGGGGAACGCCCGTCGCTTGGATTTGGCGGGCGCGGAAGACTTCGTAGGCTGTGCCGTATCTCTTTCGTTTCTTGGGGAAGTTTGTTGTTGCTTTTTGGGTTGGAGTTGTTGGAGTTGCGATTCTAAAGTGGTATTGGGGTAGGGGTTGGTGGGGTTGTCTGAAGTGAGACCGTGAACCTGAAGGAGGTGATTGTGGTTCTGTTTGTGATTGATCTTGATGCCGAGGGCTCAGAGGGGTAGGGGCTGTAAGTATGAGTGTTGGCTTGTTGGGTGATGTTGGTGCTTCTGGGTTTGTAAGGGTCGGCTGGGGTAGAAGTGATGTGCGTGCTGTATGCTGCGTTTCTTGAAGGGTGTTGCCAGCGTGAGTGAAGGAGGGTATTGCTTCAGTTTCGAAGTGTTGTGGTTGAGAACCATTCGCGAGACACTTCCTCTTCTTGACCACTGGCCGCTGCGAATAGAGATCGTCAACGTTGGAACTATCTGCTTGGGGTGTCTTGTTATGACAAGACCGAGATAGAGTTGGAGGAGGCGACAAGACGCAGGTAGTCCCCGCATGACGGTGGTGGGTAATGTTGATTTGACCAGCAGCAGGGTCCTCACGGGAGCAGGACAGCGTCTGATATGAAGACCTCTTATAAGGAACTTGCGAAGTTGGAAGCACCACAACTCTTCCATGGATACCGACTATCTGTCTTGTGCACGGAAGCTCTTTTGTGGTAGTAATAACCCGATGTTCCTCAGCTCCCAAAGCTATTCGTTTCCTATAGTCGGCGGCCTGGACTGGTGATGAAAACTGGCAAGGGCTTGAGGTTTGTGTGCGCAGCATCAACAGGCCTACTACAGCATCGATCTCTGCCGTCGATAGATGAACGCTCATACCGGTCAGAGCCTCTATAACCCTGAGACTAACGTGTTGCTCATGGTTGTTCGACGGCGTGATCTGTGAGGATATGTCTAGTGGTCTAGACTGCTGAAAAGGTCTTCTCGCACGGGATAACCACATCGCGTCACCCAGAGACTCAGGGCACAATCTATGTGAATTATCATTTGTCACTTTTTGAAGTTTTCTTCTTCTTAGTAAGAGAGATTTCTGGGTCTCAGAAGCTCTTACGGGCAAGAAGAAGAAGAAGGAAGCGGTGATTGCATCCACACTTTGACAATGGAGCAGGCAAGGCCTTGGATAAACAGAAGAAGACTAACTCTTCGTCGCCACGGGAATATTCTCTTTCTCTGACATGATGGTAGTCGAAAAGGTTCAACAGTATTTCGGCATTTGATGGTGCGTCAAATTCCTGTGAACCGCTTTGTCGGGTGGTAAAGCTCTATATACCTATCTTGGTGGTGTCTGATTCAATTACTCCAGGTGGGTGTTGTCAACAATTGTCAACAAACCCTGAACAGATATTAATGAGCCCAGAACAAGCGGCATGTTTTCCAAGCACATCAACCTAGTGATCCTTAAGATTGTTCCAGAAGAATGCCCGCAAATTGACATATGATGACGGCTTTCCTCGTCTGCAGGCATACTGCTCGTTGCCCGTGTTGAAGATGCTAAGAGATGTAGAACAGTTCTTCAAAATGCACCACAGTAACTTCTATAGTCAATCAATTGGGCTTTCTAAAGTTACGAAACTTGCTTTACGCTAACTGCCTCTGTCGCTTGGAAAACGTTCAGTGTTAATATTATCATCTTGGGTTGTCCCAGATCATAAATTGGCACTTATAGGTTCTGACTAGCGTAGGTTCCCTCAACCAATAGCAAACGTGGTACACACGGTTGTATAGTGTAGCGGTTATCACTCCGGATTCTGATTCTCTTCAGGACATTCCGGCAACCCCGGTTCGATTCCGGGTACGACCTTATATTTTTTCTTTTCTTTATCATCGTAAATCTGTTGCCTCCATATTTCTCCCGCATTGCAGCTCATTTTATCATTTTTCGAGCCGTTTCAAGATTGCGAGCAGATGTGCTCTTACTAGTTGTTTCGGGAATTGTTTTGTGAAAGCACAGAAAGACAGCCCTATTACGGCACCATGCACCAGAACAGTTCATCGGCGGCTCAGCTTGGCCACCAAGATAATCAACGACATGTGTAATGCATAGAGGTACGGAAACTGACATATAGATGTTCGAAATTTATATAAATTGTCACGAACATAACCTTGTCATATGCAGATGGGTTGTTTGAGCAGTCAATTTTGGTATTGCAATACAAAATGCCTCGTTCTATGGATATCTAATTGTCTGAAGACAAGGGTGCAGTAGCAAAAAAAAAAAAAAAATGCAGTAACAAACGTACAAGAGATGACAATTCCTTATCTATCATCCAACATCCTCCATCACACACACATTATTGATTATTCTAGAAAAAGAACCGAAAGGGGGGATATCCATCGCAAAAGGTTCAAACGGTATCATAAGCCGAAACCTTACACGAAACCATCACCACCATGCGCCAGGCTTGCTTTCTTTGTGCACAGGTATCTGTCGTTCAAGCGATCAGAGGGGCTTCTCCGCAACAATCCAGTAACTTGTCGAAATGAGACGCATCCTGTCCATCTTCACAAACGCCTGCCCATCCAGACATAACCTGTTGATCAATGTTTTGAAGTGCTGGGGCAGGACCTTGATCTTCACCAAGCCCAGAATGATCTGGCGCATGGTGCGGAAGTAAATGTCAACCCGATCAATCAGAGGTGCCTGCAAGCCGTCGATGCTCGCATTCTCGGATTTCGTGACGACAAAGCCAGCATCCTCGAGGGCCTTCTCGAAGCTCTTGGGCGTTGGCGTGCCAACGGCGCCGATTAGGGGCTTCACGCGCCTCATGAGCGCAAGGTGTTCCGGGTTGCTGGGGTCGTAGCCTGGCAGGCTAACCCAGTCGAGGAGCGAGACCTTGGCACCCGGCTTGAGAACGCGGTAGACTTCACGGAAGAGCGTTGGGAGATCCTTGCACAATGACAGTGCTTGGATCTGGTAGAAGCAGTCAAAGGAGTTGTCGGCGAAGGGTAGTGGTAGCGTGTTCATGTCTTGTTGTACAAAGTTGTTCTTGAATCCCTTCTGGTTGTTGAACTCTTGTGCCTGGGCGACCTGGTTAGGGTCGATGTTGAGACCGGTAACTGTAGCGCCGGTCATGCTGGCCATATGAGCAGCCACGCGCCCTCGGCCACATCCCAAGTCGAGAACCTTGTCGCCGGCCTTCATGCCAATGGCATGCGCGACGGCCTTCTCATAAAGCAGCTGATTCTCAATGACGGAAGCCCGCTTGTCCATGTGGGGGGAATGTACATCTTCTCGACATCGCCCATGGCGCAGAGGTGGTTGATGATTCCGTAGTAAGCCTTCAAGCACTCGCCGACCTTGGCCTGGTAGTCAGGACCAAGTTCCTTGATCATGGCATCTTCGTCGGCCCAGTCAAGGTTGTAGATGACATACGAGTGCATGTAGTCATCTACCTGCTTTGGTGTTAGGTGGTGAATATACTTGAAGGCTGATCGGAAGGTCTTGAAGCGGTTTGTGGTGGATTGCCGGTCGGCGTCGTCAAGCCCCAGCGCATCTTGCTTTCGTGTGGATGGTGGCGCATTCACGGAGAGCTTTTGCTTCTCTTCGGCTATCCTGTCGATGCCGTCGGAGCTATCCGATACCCGGTTCTGAAGTGGAACGGACATGGTGAAGAATGTGCAGATTTCTGGGGCGCGGGGGAGGCAGTGCTTGAGCCCCAAATGCGGAGATGTGGGCGGAGAGGTTTAAGTTTTGTGGATGGGGGGGGGTAAAATAGAGCCCTTCGCAAGTGAAAGATGGATGAGAGGACGACAACTGATGTAGAAGCCGGAAATAAGCACAGCACAACGGGCCGCGGAGCTGCTTTATTGTGAAATATTTGGTTGGCTAGGTAAAAGTTGAGTGAGAGGAGAATGAACTGGAGGAGTAAACGCAAAATTAGTGGATAGACAGGTAAATATCGATTATGATATCAAAAGCCATGCATGGAGATGAACGGGAATTCCAGGTACCATCGATCTATGGCACTACATATCACTTGCACGGGAAGAGCGGAGCTCAAAATGTGGAAAAGAAAAGAAAAACTTTAACATGCAAGGATTGGGACTGGACAATGATCGGAGCATACTGTCAACAGACTGGATCCCGAAAGGTCCGGGAGGTCCGGGAGCGCCGGATGAGTTCGGTCGGAAGTCGGGTCCAAAAAGTCGTCACCTGAGGATGAGGTCGCCGCGTCGCGACTAACTTTGAAACGGTAGTGTATAATATCTGGGCGCTTAAAGGGGACCATGAAGCCGTCATCATGAAAAGTTCGGGGCTTCAAAAGAAGCAGGAAGAACTGTGCTTGGGGATAACCGTTCGGTGAATTAGTCATCTCCACTGTTGGGTAAGACGCATGCATCAGTCATCCCACCTTCCGGTTTGCTGTTGCAGCCGTTGCAGTAATGGATGCTTCCCGTCTTGTACAGATGACAGTGACAAAGTTGATGGGAATACTACCAGCGACATCAGGTTGTTTGCGTATTACCGCAGATGCCGCCTTGATCGACGACTATGGGGCAACGGGCAGGAACGGAGGGAGAGAGGAGGGTTCATTTCCCTGTGTTCCGGTCTCATAGGCATCATATCCCCATCATAGCCATCATGGACTGGTGTTGGTAATCTGCCATGTCCAAAAAAGCGCGGAACCTCGGTTCAAACTTTGTAAGCGGCCGAAATGCGTACCTTTGGCTCGTCTCGTGGGAAATTTAGCGCCGGATGTTCGTTGATAAGTGCGTCTTTTCTGGGCGACTTTTTCAATTAAAGTCCCCTCTTCAACCGCTTCAAATAAAAAGATGGGCGATATCGGTGCTGTTTGATCCGTCGGTCAATATGTCACCAAATGCCGTTGTGAGAGAAGGACAGGGTCCTGAGCGCCGGGATCCCATCTTCGGCAAAACAAGCTCGGAGGTAACTCTGACAAGATTTTTTCTAATGCCGGGATGACCTCGCGGTGGGACTTTCGACGAATAGAATTTAACAAGCTGCAACCCTGAGAGTCGAGCAGGGTGTATTTTACCTCATCTCCCCATCGCTGTTGTCACGACAAATCAACCTGATATCATGTCGGCTTTGCATAGTACGATTGGTACGTGAGGCATATGGCCGGAGAGCTCGGTCGTTGGGTCCCGTTCGGATCGGCGCTTGACACGTTGAAACCGTCAAGACAATGCCGGGTGTGCTACCGAGTGTTCGTCAAGGGGGTTATGACGCTGTGGTGCCGAGCATCTTTGCTGAGATTTTGAGCCGATCGGGCGAGGCCAGCGGTTGCGGGCGAACCCGGATGGTCATCGCGGACGCGTTGAAAAACCCGAGTGAAGTGACCTAAAGGCCGGAATCCGGTCGTTGGTCCATCATAAATGCCGTTGAAAAGCTTTGGGGTTCCGGGCCGCTTCAGTTGGGATGACGCACTGTCTGCAGCCCGCTTCCATGTTGCAGATTTTAGGTAGTGTATGTACTGTGTAGTTCAGGGTCCACTGAGCCAGCCAGCCCTATCAGGCAGGACAGTATCTTCAGCGCTGGTGGACACGGAGCGCTCCTCGCAGCTTTTGAAGACTGATAACTGACCTGGTGCTTGTTTGCTGTAGAAGTTGTTAGTACGTGAGTGCGCTGGATCCACCTGTACAGTGTACAAGAAATCCACGGCACTTTCATAATGGAAACACCTTATTGCATGGCGCCTCGGAGCTGCCCGAAGTCCTCTCGAGACCTGATGACAATACTGTACCGGTAAACCGAATACCATATGCTTGGTGAGCTACCATACGTGCAGAACCCGACCAACCGCATCTTATAATAATCTGCGAATACTCCAGTCCTATCAATTACATTGATCGATCTGGGCCCAAAATTTCACTTCCGCAACACCGCCATCGACAGGACTGCAACCCATTACAACTCGCAGTATCAACACCGAAGACTTCGCCAGCGGAGCGTTTGTTAGACTTCGCTGCAGTCGCGAACGAAACACGTTCAACTGAAAACATAACCCATCACAAATTTCCCGGGTAGATTGACCACAGAAAAAGCACCAGTTGTTCGTGGAAAACCCCAAGTTGAACTGAACAGTAACTCGCATCCACGAGAGTGAGCAGGTGGACTTGAACATGTGGGGAAAGCTTCTGATATGATCGAAGAAGCCATGCATTTCGCATGAAAAGAGTTGGTTACTTATGTCAGCTACTTCTGATGGCTAGGCAAGCCAGGTTTACCAGACTCTCCGCAAACAGTGCTTCTTGCTCTGGATAAAAAAGTGTTGATCGTGGAAACATGCAAGAAAGAGGTAGAAAGTAGCGCATTACTGATATTAGACGATCAGATGCCACGATCAACAAGAAGAAAACCGTCTAGGCACTGGACACTGGCGCTTCTGTTGTATTTTTGTCCTTTGTTGTGCCACCTTCGTCCAACATCACACCGGCGTCTCCTGCATGAACCACGAGGACACTCCGATACGACTCATTCCTCTGGCTGAAACGATAGTTTCTTGATATTCCTCTGTTGTTTCCTCGAGGTACTGGATCCCACTCCAAAGAAAAGCTGGCGCCAGAGGTTCAGCTCGCCCAAGCCTGGGGCCAGGCGCAATGAGTCCTTTGAGCAATCAACCACGCTTTCCCAAAATGGGTTTGAATAGAACTTCAATAAACACTTTGTTGCGGACCCCTAAATTTGCCGCTAGTGTACCACACCGCATGCACCAAACAGTCACCATGCCTCTCCTTCACGTTCCCTGCCTTATTCTGGAAGGACGCTATTTCTCACGTGGCATCAACGCAAAACGCCTCTTGCATCCTCATCTTCACCTCGCCCTTGCTTTGTCTTCCGTACAACTAACCTGCTTTAGACGTTTGGCTTCTCCCCGAGTCCCGTATCCCCGGCTGCATGAAGCATCTTCAACTAGGCTAGTTCCGTCAGGCCATCATTGGGCGGAGCACCGAGTCTGACCTGAACGTCTTCGTCCGAACCTTCATCGCCTTGAAGCTCTTCAACGTTTCCGACACCTCGGGACCGAACTTTCATCCCTTCGAATTTTTAGTCGTGGCAATTCATCCCATGCTCTGGGAGAAGGTGGCTCCATCGTCGGGCTCAATGAAGCCTTCCTCTGAATAGAGATCTGAATAAGCCATTGACGAATCCTCTCCGTCAACCTCCACCAAAGCAAACCCTTGACCTCAATAACCACACCATCACTGGTGATCCTTTCACCAACTTTGCCTAGTTCTGGACCGGCCTGTTGTCTTCTTTGAACGAGCTCCCTCCCTCGCGGCCACCGCCTCCTTGGACGATCCTTGTCGCTGACCAGGTTAACTTCCGGATCTATAGAGAGTTCGTCTGAATAAACATGCTTGCGCAGACGACTTAAGCAGCCGTGATATATTGTATATAAAAGATGGTGTTGACCTCCTCAGGACACACTTCTTTTTTTCTCCATCACCTTTGACATTGCCAATCAACCCTCAGAGGTCTTCATTCTCTCAATCAACAGGGTCCTTTCGTTGACACTTTTTACATTCTTCATCCAAGCCGTTTTGTTCAAGATGAAGTTCACTCTTCCTCTTGTCATCTTCGCCGCCGTGGCCTCCGCCACCCCGGTCGCCCAGCCAAACGCTGAGGCCGAAGCCCAGTGGTGCCGGATCCATGGCCAGTCCTGCTGGAAGGTCAAGCGTGTTGCTGATGCCTTCGCCAACGCCATCCAGGGCATGAGTGGTCTCCCGCCCCGCGATGAGTCCGGCCACCAGCCCGCCCAGGTCGCCAAGCGCCAGGTTGACGAGCTTGCCGGCATCATCGCCCTCACTCAGGAGGACGTTAACGCCTACTACGACTCGCTCGGCCTCCAAGAGAAGTTTGCTCCATCCACCGAGGAGGAGAAGAAGACCGAGAAGGTCGCCAAGCGTGAGGCCGAGGCCGAGGCACAATGGTGCCGCATCCACGGCCAATCGTGCTGGAAGAAGCGTGAGGCCGAAGCCCAGTGGTGCCGCATTCACGGCCAGTCGTGCTGGAAGCGTGACGCCCTCCCCGAGGCCGAGCCCCAGTGGTGCCGCATCCACGGCCAGTCCTGCTGGAAGAAGCGTGACGCCGCTCCCGAGGCTGCTCCCGAGGCTGAGGCCAACCCACAATGGTGCCGCATCCACGGCCAGTCCTGCTGGAAGGCCAAGCGCGCCGCCGAGGCCGTCATGACCGCCATCCAGTCCGCCGAGGCCGAGTCCGCCCTCCTTCTCCGTGACACCACCTTCAGCCCCGTCGACCGCGTCGGCAAGCGCGATCCCCAGTTCTGCAACATGAGGCTCCACCCCGACAGGAAGTGCTGGAAGCGTGATGCCTCCCCTGAGGCCTCTTGCAACGCTCCCGACGGCGCCTGCACCAAGGCTACCCGTGACTTGCACGCCATGTACAACGTGGCTCGTGCCATCCTCACTGCTCACTCCGATGAGAACTAGGTTAGTGACAGCTCCCTTCTCTCGAGATGCACCGAGCAGCCCACATGCTAATTTGCATCACTTCGGCAGATGTTTCCCCAAAATCTTCTTCCCTAGGAGAGGGCACGACAAAGCAAACAAAAAAGGGGGCAGAGAAAAGGCTTGGATATATCACTTTTGTTCCCTCTTTACACACTTCACTTCTTTCTGGAAAAAAAAGTACAACACATCTATATACACACACACAGAAGCTTTTTGGGTTCACACTCAACACAAAGGGATTGGATAGGTGAATACTTGTACAATCCTGTTTTTATCAATTATTCTTCAAGTGGGATGGGAATGGGGTATCGGAGCATGCCTGTACTTAGCTAGTTCTGAATCTCTCCCGCTCACCCGGACGCTGAATTCAAGGATGAGGCTGCTTGCCGATCGAAGGCAGCCTCGAATACTTTCCTTGACATGCTTTCTTCATGCTCACTTGCTTCCCGTGACATATTATCTGCCCACATGGTCTGGAAATCTGCTGATTATCGCTTGGTGATCTTGTGAAAGGTGTTAATAGCTGGTTTGACGCATGGTTGTCCAGGTACGATAATATATTGGGTGGAATGTTGATGAATTATTTCCTAAACGCCAAAAGTCAGACATCAGGTGAATGGTCTGTGAACCATCCTTCGCCCTTGAGACTTGGAGGCCTATTTGCTATCGGGATTTGTTGCAGTACCTGAGATAGGGGGGAGTGTCCACGGTTCCTTTGTATCGTGGGGTAAGAACTGAGAGAACAACAATATCATATCTTGGTGTCTGATGTTCATAAGCCGCCCGTGCCATCCAGATCATGTTCCCAGCCGCTACCTAGCGCGAGGGCTTTGCCGAACCTTTCCCAGTTTTATATTTCTACACGTATGATACAATTAGTATGACTCTCGACATCGGGTATGCCAACGTCAACAGACTGGCATGCAATGCCTGTCCATATGATATCCGTCGCCTTATCTCTTTTCTCTACCCTTATTGCCCTTGCTGAACTTGGAAAATCCGTCAGCGACTCCCAAAAGCCAGAACACCCAAAGAGCCACACCCGCTCGTCACAGCCCCTTCTTTCTCCAGCCAAGGCATTTCCAGTGATGGCCACTCCCCCTTTAATCCATCCAACATTTAATTGCTCTCATCCCCATCCTTCTTCCCCTCTCCAGGCCTCACAGTCTTGAAAGTTGACCCCGGCGGACTATTATCCACCTCCTTCTTCGGCTTCTCCGGCGCCGGCTCCGGCTCCGGCTCCCTCATGGTACTTGTCCCATCCTCCCAAAACTCCACATCCCCTTCCTCGCCCAGAGTCCCCCTCTTGACCATCATCCCTTTTTCTTTCAATAAATCCTCGACCGTCACTCTCCGGTCTCCGAAGAGCTTGAGGTGGTCGCTGATGACGTGTCGATTACGGCAGTTCGGGCACGAGATCAACACGGACCCGTGGTGGTAACCCTGTTTGGAGACCTTGTGCTTGGATCGGTGATCGCAGGGGATGCAGGTGAAGGTGAGCTCGTACTGGGGAACTTGGGACGTGTCACGCTTGGGTTGTGCGGGTTGTTGTTGATCGGAGGGAGGGGATTGAGGTTCAGGGGAGGATGAGGGCTGGCTTCGAGGACGAGGGATGGTGTGTTTTTGTCGGATTGGTGTGTAGTTGGTATCTCCTCGTTGTTGTGTTTGCTGTTGCTGTGACAGTGGTACTGGCCGCTGGCACTGAGAGCTGTAGGAGTGAACATAGTAGTTGAGGAAGCGCGACGTTGTGGTTGTGGTTTTCAGCGATTGCGCCGGCGCCGAGCCGAGTCGGGCAATGCAGGACAGTGTTGATGCCGCTGCTCGTTTGGAGGCCATGGCTGGAGGTATAGATGGGAATGTTGGGCCGGTATGGGATCCCTTTTGGGATTTGGTTGAATCACGGCCAAAAATTATGATATTGTGAGCAAGAAAAAAGATATAATGCGATAGATTCGGATAGAATCCGGTCGTTTCGTCATTGCGCCGTAGAAGTCCAGCATCGCGACCCGCCCGCCTGCCTAGGTTGCCTGTCGCAATGTTTCTTATCGATAACGATCCCTGCGGAATATCCGTTCCACTTGCCTCTACGTACTTATACTTGTAGTGCGCCTCTCCACCTGTAACAGTTCGCATCTTTCCGGCGATGTTGTCGATGATGAATTGTAAAGTGGCAAAGCTAACTAAGTACTCTCTATCGGGTGTTCATCTTGAGCAGTCCTCGACACCCATATTAACGGAGTTTCTGTTGAATCTGTAAACAACACTGGGCGCCCGGCGTTTGAGCTGGTACGTAACGTGTAATGATACTTACAACACACTACTATAGGTACTGCTTCGATCTCTTAAGCTCCGTTGGAAGTACCTAGTACCTGGAGATCCACACCTATCTACCGCGTGCCTGAACTTCCCGTTTGTCAAATACCGTTTAGGTACCCTTCCATTACTAAACTTCATCCTCGATCACGTCTCTCACGTTTGCCACTTCTGGCAATTATCATGCCTCGGGTCTTCACTTTCTCTTGACTTCTCCGTTTTGTTTTTTTTTAGCCCCGAGTGTTCATATACTTTACGATTCACGGACCACCAAACGTTTTCTTTCTTCGGTCTGGGGATCGTGTACATCTGCTGCGAATCGCAGAACCCATTCTCAGCCATTCCAATCCTTTGAGAGCTCGTCCCGCGCGCCCTGGCCCAGCTCGACCTGACAACTTCCTTTGTGACTCTCCATCAGTAACGACTCATTGGCCACAGTCACCACAGCCCCTTAGCTATTACGCGTCTTCTATTCAGACCTTTTCTTCACGACACACCGTCGATAACCAAAGTGGTTACCGGCTGCGGTCGCTTGAGACTATAGCTCTCGGAAGGGTCACATCTGCAGGACTTCCACTTCACCCTTCACAAAGACCCTTGCGGTTAGGAACGGAACACAAACGTCGCAATCATGGCATCGAGAACCAACAAGATCAGGCCCATTAGGAAGGTGTGTGTGTGTCGGGTTTGCTTACGCGGTTCGGGCGCTTTTCACCATGCAGTTAAAGCTAATGATATGTTAGCCGATAACGAATCGAGACCAGAGCGAGTTCGAGCCATGCTGGGCCCTCCTGCGCGACGCCATGACCGATATTCACCTACAGAACGCCGGCCGTCTGTCCTTCGAACAATTATACCGAGCTTCATACAAGATTGTGCTCCGAAAGAAGGGCGCCCTACTCTACGAGAGGGTTAGAGACTTTGAACAGGAGTGGTTCCGAGATCACATCATGCCGAACATCGCCGCCCTGATCACCAAGAACCTGATCAACATATCGCTGCTTCAGCACCCCGGGTCGAGCTCACATGAGCGTAGGGAGATGGGCGAAAAGTTCCTGCGCGGAATACGAGACTCATGGACGGATCACAATAGGTCCATGAACATGATCGCGGACGTGCTCATGTATCTCGACCGTGTCTATACCCTAGAGACGAAGCAGCCCTCTCTGTTTGCCGTTACAATTGGTCTCTTCCGGAACAATGTCCTCCGGAGCCACATTGGCGCCGCCGCAGAAGATATCGAGCAAGACTTTGTCGTCTTTGACATTCTCTGCGCCGTCATATTGGACCTGATCAACATGGAGCGCGACGGCGATATCATCAACCGAAACCTAGTGCGCAAAATAACTGCAATGCTTGAGAGCTTATACGAGACAGATGACGAGATCGAAAACCATCGGCTTTACCTAACCCTTTTCGAACCTCGGTATCTCGAGGCAAGCACCGAGTTTTACCGCAAAGAGTGCGAGAAGCTGGTCCAGGAAGCAAATTGCAGCACATGGCTCCGCCATGCCCAACGGCGACTGAATGAGGAGCGCGAACGATGTGGTACTACCCTATCAATTATGACGACCGACAAAATCGCGAGTGTTGTGGAGAAGGAGCTCATCGAGGCAAAGCTCGATGTCTTTCTGGCCATGGAAGGGAGCGGCCTGAAGCCCATGATCGACAATGATCGCTTGGACGACCTTTCGATCTTGTACCAACTCATATCCAGAGTGGACAGTACGAAATCGGCGCTGAAAGTTATTCTACAACGTAGAGTGCGGGAGCTTGGACTGGAGATTGAGAAGGCGCTCAAAAACACAGACTTTTCCGTCGCTGGTGCAGCTGCTGGGGATGGTGAGGATGCTGGCGAAGCGGCAGAGAAGGCCAAACCCCAGACCTTGAATCCGGCTCAGCAGCAAACCGCTGCCGCTATCAAGTGGGTGGACGACGTATTGCAGCTTAAGGACAAGTTCGACAGAATATTGTCCGATTGCTTCTGCGATGATCTCCTGCTACAGTCCGCGATCACACGAAGCTTCTCTGACTTCATCAACTCTTTCAATCGCAGTTCTGAATATGTTTCTCTATTCATTGATGACAACCTCAAACGCGGCATCAAGACCAAGACGGAAGCCGAAGTAGATGCTGTCTTGGACAAAGCCATCGTTCTTCTCAGATATCTTACAGATCGAGACATGTTCGAAAGGTATTACCAGAAACATCTGGCCAAGCGGCTACTGCATGGGAAGTCTGAAATCCATACCGAGAAGGAGATGGTATCTCGTATGAAGTCGGAAATGGGCAACCATTTCACATCCAAGTTTGAAGGCATGTTCAAGGACATGGAGTTATCCAAGGACCTAACCGACAACTACCGTGACCATATCGCCAGTTTAGGTGATGCCGACTATAAGATGGTTGACCTCAACATCAACGTCCTGACCACCAACAACTGGCCACCCGAGGTAATGGGTGGTAGTACGTCGAAGGGAGAAGGGGCGAAACCGGATTGCTTCTATCCGCCCGAAATCAAGCGGCTCCAGGAGAGCTTTTACAAGTACTACCTGAAGGACAGGAGCGGCCGTGTTCTTACATGGGTTAGCTCAGCGGGCAATGCGGACGTCAAGTGTGTGTTTCCCAAGGTTCCGGGCAAGGAGACTGGACCTTTGAGCAAGGAAAGGCGGTATGAGCTAAACGTCTCGACGTATGGCATGATTGTGCTTATGCTGTTCAACGATCTCGTGGACGGCGAAAGTTTGAGCTTCGACGAGATCCAAGCCAAGACGAACATTCCGGCACCAGAGCTCATGCGAACACTGGCTTCACTTTCGAGTGTTCCCAAGTGCAGGGTACTGCTAAAGGAACCGGCCACAAAGAACGTCAAGAATACCGACAAGTTCTCTTACAACGCACAGTTTGTGAGTAAGGCTATCAGGATCAAAGCTCCCGTTATAAGC